AGCTACTGTTTTTATATTTCTCTAGAGGAAAGAATGTGAAGTGTAGAAGATCAATCTTGTCCCTTGCTTCTCCTTCCAATCCAAATAGTGACGAACTAAGCAAATAATTTACTACTAGTTTGCATTGCCATATGGGATCAGGATGTGGTGCACATACAAAATAAAACAGGGTGCATGCACAAAAGGAATTTAGACTATTTGTCATAGTTTAAAAATGGGTAAGAGAAAAGTCTGTAGCCTGGAAGCAAAGTGCTTTGGTTTTATTTTCTACAGATATCTCTCAAAATGTTATCCTTTGAGCTGGAATATAGTGACAGATGCATCTATGACTACTTGCTCATACATGATGGAAGCCACCCTACTTCACCTGCAGTTGGCCCTTACTGTGGGACAGAGAAAGTTGCAGATTTTATTTCCACTGGAAACTTTGTGTTGGTTGAATTTCACAGTGATTTAGTGTGGGAGTTGCCTGGATTTGTGATGAGTTATACATTTGGTAGGTAAGTACAATACAGATGGGGTTGAAAAATACAGAATGAAAGTAAGAGTCCAGGTAGCCACAGGTAAAAGTCAAGAGGCCACTAATTTCAGGAAAAAATATAGCCTGATACCTTTAACAAGCTTGAAGTTTGACCTCTTAGTCTTACATCTACAGTGGTGTCATTTGCATGGTGATTCAAGCACAGAAATGTTCCTGCCCATGGGATGCTTCTGTCTGAGACTGTATGCTTTTTATTACAGTATTCTCATTGCTGGTGTTGCATGGCCAAACATGATAGCAAAGCTGAAACTTTGCAAACAGATTTTCAAGAACTTCTAGTGGTAGAAACTCTGCCCATAAATAAATTCAGAACATGGCTATGTAGCAACTTTAAACTGTATTCTGGCAAATGTTTTTACCCAATCTTCATGTGCATTCCAGCATGCATACAGAAAAATCTTCAGACACATATTTATTTATGCTTTGAAGCCAAAATCACTTCCACAGTTTATATAGGCATCTGAGTTCAGCCTGGAAATCACCACTTGACACCACTATGTGGTGTCATAGTACAGTATGACATACAGTACCTGAACTGAAAGATCTGCACTACTCCTCTGTAAGCTGAACCAAGACAGGAAACAGATTTAACTAAAGAAACTAAAGTTAAGAGTGGCAGAAACAGGCAGTGTGGGAGAGGGAATAGAATGAAGCACCTATTGTTGCCACTTTTCTGTGGCTTAAGTCAGGTATTGAAATTGTCCATAAGGTATTACTAAAATATTTTTTAAAAATGAGACCTGAAAACCTAATGCAAAGACCATTGAATTTTCTCTTTGGAGAGCATTTTAGATGTGAAGTATCTTGTCTCTAGAGAGAAATCCTTCTCCTCTAAGGAGATGGCTGGAGAGGAGAAATGAATTGCCACTGTAAAGACCTGACACTTTGCCTTRACTTGATGTATTGAGAATTAAATGCCAATGCCAAACTGGGAGATGCCAAAACATAATGAATAATAAAAAAATTTGCTGGAATTATACTTTTGTGAAGAAGAACGTGTAGAAAATGCCAATTTACTTTCCTGGTGCGGCCAAGAAAATTTTGAATTATGATTACCTTGGAGCAGTGCAGGGGAGGGGTTTAAGGATCTGTAATGTTTTGGTTTTTAAGCACTGGTTCATTTTCACCCACAGAAGAATAATAATTTATAAGTTGTGGACATCAGGGCTCAGGGCTTGCTTGCATCATGGTGGGAAAGTGCATGCACAGCAGGCAATAAATATTTTCATTTTTTACAAGCTCCCATCCTCTGGCTATAAAAAGTATTCCTTCATTTAATTTGGCTCACTATTTAGATTGGGACATTTTTTTTAAGAATGTAACCATTTCATCAGCATGACACAAAATTAAACTCTACTTCTATTTTTAACCTCAACTTCAGACTGTAAAAATGCTAATTTTTCTCCTTGAGTCTGATGACTTTCATGGAAGTGCAGAAGTAACAACCCCAAGACAACTCTCACAGAATAACAGAGTTGAATGGGTCCCTGTTTTAAACAGACACTGCTGAACAGCTTTGTAACTTGAGTATTACTTTAGATTCCCTTCCCTTGGTCTGATGTGGGTTTCTGCATAGGTCCAATGTTTTAGATGTTCACCCACATTTGATAAGAGAGCCTGAACAGCATGTTCAAACAGGAATATACCACATATAGGAATATTGGTCTTGCAATTTGTCCATAGAAATCTGGTTTTAAGTAGGACATTGCCCATATATAATTATGATATACAAATTGGCTCTTAAGAGATATATGAATTAAGAGTAACCAGCTAGTAGATGCAAGGGACAGTATAGTCAAAAGTTTAAGATTCAAATACCACAATAGGATGATTTTCAGAATTTCTAAATAAAGTGTAGCACTCACTTAACACACTTTCTAAATCCAAAATGCAAATATTTAACCTTAAAACATAGAGATATCTAACAGTGATGAATATATGTTTTCCYATAGATATACATAACTCGTGACACAAACAGGTATTATCTTAATTGCATACAAAACCAGATGTTTTTAAACACAACAAGCCTGTGTGTGTGTAAGAAATAAGAGTGCTTGTGTCCTTTCTTACCTGCTTTGAGACTGTCCTGGTTCCTACCCAGGAGGCAAATCAGAGCCTATGCTTTTGTTGTCTGTCAGAACCAGAACAGAGATCAGTCAATTACTGCTGCAAGAATAAAACCAGCCTGGAATAAAGCATTACAGAAGCACACAAAAATGTACTACTCATAGGTCTTTGTGTTTAATTCCAAGCACATTTCTCTTACATAAATAAATAACTGTGGTTGAGATGACACTTTCCTGCATGACTACAACCCCGGTTATTGAATCATAGAACACTTTGGGTTGAAAGGGACATGTAAAGGTCATCTAGTCTAGAACCCTGCAATAAGCAGTCATCTTCAATTAGACCAAGTTGCCCAGAGCRCCATCCAACCTGACTCTGAATGTTTTCAGAGGTGGTAACATGCACCACCTCTCTAGACAACCTGGTACAGCATCTCACCACCCTGACTGTAAAAAATTTTGTCTCTAAATGTAGTCTAACTCAATCCTCTTTTAGTTTAAAATCATTGTCCCTTGTCCTTATTACAACAAGCYCTGCTAAAATGCTTGTTCCCATCTCATACAAGCCTCCTGTAAGTACTGAAAGCTGCAATAAGGTCTCCCCAGAGCCTTCTTGTCTCTTCAATGACTCCGACTCTCTCAGTTTGTTCTCGTAGGAACGGTGCTCCAGCTCCCTAATCATCTTTGTGGCCCTGTTGTGGACATGATCCAACAGCTCCTTGTCTTTTATGTGCTGAGCACTCCCGACCTGGATGCAGCACTCCAGGTGGGGTCTCACCAGAGCAGAGWAGCARTAACTMTGCAGGACAGAGRATGTAAAACGTACTKTGCAAAAACTGAATTTGGCAARAAGACATACAAACCAGAGACCACTTAATTTCTCGTGCACTTCACATAGAAATTGAAAAACTTATAGGCTAAGACGTCACATAGGATTTTAAAATCGAGTTGGCTTTATCATGGGAAACATCTGCAGGCAAGAGAAGAAATAAAGGCAAGCTGCTGCTGCTCTGCCGCCAAATTGCCTTCGGTTCAGGAGCTGGAGAACTGCGGGGACCGGGCCCCCTCTGGCGGACACTGCAGGGAACGGGAAYGGGAAYGGGAAYGGGAAYGGGAACGCGTAACTCATTCTCCAGACGCCTGAGAGTGATCTCGTCTCCTGCCCTGGCCACGGCTCCCAGCTCCATCCGGCAAATGAGCCGAGGAGTTTGTCAACAGGGAGGGTCAGTCTCCGTGATCCCTGCCGCGCTCCTCTCCCGGCGCTGCGGGATAGGACAATTTCTTCCGTGGATAGGAAGATTTCTTCCGTGGATAGGAAGATTTCTTTGGGTTGCTGCTTGTATTTAGCCTTAAAGAGCGGCGCCCCAAATTCCACCGGTCAATCGGTAGGTTGCACTGTAACATTAAGACTRAAATCTCCTGTTCTTGCTTTCCCATTGAGCAGCTCAATAGCAAAGACAATGAAGTCTTTTATTTGAGTTTATATTTGTCCCGATTCCCTGCTTTATGCCTATAATACCTAGAATTTCCAGGTGGTCTCTGACACAATTGCTGGACAGGTACAAAAGTTAGCTTCCAGTTGTCTTTCTAATGTTTTTACCATTAAAAAACCTAAGCAATCAAAAACCTTCACAAGTAAACAAACAAATGCCAAAAAATGGAAGATTGAGAGGGTGCCCCCCTCCCCTTTTTTTTCCTTTAAATTTAGCATTATTTAGATATTAATGAGCCTTACTTCCTTGAATAAATCAGTCTGTTTCCGATTTTAATTGTGCAGGWCTTTACAACGTGGGGTTATATATTAAACTGGAAAGAATGCAAAATGTACCTGCAAACCCACGCTGTTAACAGGATGACTCATTTGYACTCAGTGACTCTTTTTACAAATACTGCGAGACACTCACTCCTGAGGGCAGGCGGATCAACACTGCCAGAATGATGGGCTGGGGATAACTGGAGTTTTGCAGTTCAGCTGATTCTTGCTGTTCTGGATCAGGATCTCACCACAGGTTTAGGACAAAAAAAACCAAACAAAACCAAACCACAGAAAACAAAAACATCCAAAAAAAAAAAAACAGAGTAGCTTGAGCACAACACTCTCAGCGTCAGATAATACACTTTTTTGTCTTATTAACACCCAAGAACAGCTGATGCTGCTCCGAGATACGGCGCCTCCGGCGAGGCCGAGCAGCGACATCAGACTACAGATACCATAATGCATCGGGCGTCGATGGCAGCCCAGCCGGCCCGGCACCGGGACCGCGCAGAACCCTGGGCAGYGTAGTTTATTCGCAGAGAGCTGCCTGGCGTCTGAAGGCGGGGCGAGCGGAGTGAGAGACTACAACTCCCGTCGGGCCACGCTCTGCCTGCCGGTGTGAGGGGGTGGAGGGTGCTGTCTGCACCTCCCCCCTGGTGACAGCCCCGCTTGCCGCCGATCCTTGGGCCTGAGGCAGGAGCGGGGCGAGCCGTGGAGCTTGGAATGGTGGGGGTGCAACGCCGTGCCTGAGGGCGGGCCGGGGCGGTGGCGCCATGGATAGCCGGTGCTATGGGTGCGCGTCCAAGTTCTCTGTCTTCAAGAAAGAGGCAAGTCCGGCTGCAGGGGGGTCAGGAGCGGGCCGGTCCCGCGGGTGCCTCCCCCGCAGTGCGAGGGTCTGAGAAGGGAGCTGGGAACTGCTTCGCCCGGCGCCGAGACGCAGTTCCCGGCCAGCAACCTGGCCTTGCTGTCCTTGTTTACTGAGTTCTTGCGGTGCCTAATTATGATATGTCTTCAAATATGGGAAATTGTTGAAAAAAATARAAAATATAGTAATTGAATGCCATCCCTCTAATCCAGGATTCTGTAATGGTTTCAGACAATTCACACACACACTTGCATATGCCATGGGGTGAAATGGTGACTGAGCTCCCAGCAGGAGTTACTTGCTGGTGCTCCAAGGCTCTTGAGTCTCCATATCTTAAGCAGCAGCTGGTGAAACAGTTCTGTCACAAAAAAATCTGCATAACCCCAGCGGTATTTTTCGTGTGCCTGCATGTGGCCAGGCAGAGCGATGGCGGGGGTGTGGTGCTGAGGTGATGAAGCCCTGTCCTGCCCCTCTCTCCTGTCTCTGCAGTGTGGCTGCAAGAACTGCGGACGGTCCTTTTGTTCGGGCTGCCGGAGCTTCAGTGCTGTTGTTCCCCGCTGTGGAAACACTCAGCAGAAAGTGTGCAAGCAGTGCTATGGAAAACTAACTGGGTAAGATGGTGGTGTTTCTGCACCCAAAGACAGTTTCCTGGTTTTTTTTTTCTTCAGTTACCTCCCATGTGGAGCTGCAAATTTCTGCACGACAGCTCTGCCTTCCATATGTGCATGGATGCTGTCTACCCTAGAGTTTCAAGACAGGACATTTCTGAAGTGTTGTTATATGAGCTGTGGAGTTCCAAAAATGGGAATCAGGGTTTGTGCCTGTTTTCTATGGTGACAAAGTAGTCTGAAGGTACCAGGTTTAATCTTCATGGATAGACACTGAATTCCTATGGACAGTTTAGCTAGATGGGCTGAGGTTAAACCACACTGTGTTGTTGCCCAGAAATCTACACTCCTCTAACAGTTCTGGTAATCTTTTCAGATGTGTAGTAGTTGAGTAGCCTGACAGTAAGATGTCCGAAATGTTATTACTTCTGTGGGCAAACAGTGACATAAGCCCTCCTTGTTGAGGAGTCTCTACTATGTGTGGCCTGAAGATGTAAAATTTTATAGCATAAAGCTATAAAATTTTTATTTCTAAAAGAAAAGAAACTTACTTGCAAACATAACCTGTAGACTTCCTGTTGAAAACAAAACATGTAATTCAGTAGCAGCAGGATTATACACACGAACAAGTAACACAAGAACACAGGTGCATACCAGAATCCCTCTGTCAACCAATTCTGTGGTTCTGTGCTCTTTTCTTTCTCTTGCATTTCTCTTGTTCCTTTTCCTCACTTTTATCCTATACCAAGGAATTTTCACCAGCGAGTGGGCAATTTTCTGGCTCTGCARGTGTGTAAAGGAGAAGAGCCTCATTACTGAAGGTCTTCATCTTCACTGACTGATGAAAACAGTGAAAGACAGTATTGAGTCTTCTCAGTTTTGAAATTTTCTGATTTCCCTTCACAACTTCAAAGCCATTAAGGAAACAGGTCTGCCTTTCTTGATGTTTCTTCTGGGTCTTTTTTTTCACTATAGAACTATAGCAGAAAAACAATCTTCCCTAATTGGATAGCAGGTAGATTATAGAATCATGGAATGGCCTGGGTTGGAAGGGACCTTAAAGATTTCTATTTCTAGCCCCCATGCTGTGGACACCTTTCACTAGCCAGGTTGTTCAGAGCTGCATCCAACCTGGCCTTGAACACATCCAGAGATGGGGCATCAACAACTTCTCTGAGCAACCTGTTCCAGTCTCTCACCACACTCAAAGAATTTTTTTCTAATAACTAATCTAAACGTGCTCTCTTTCAGTTTAAAACCATTTTGCCTTGTCCTGTCACTATGTGCTCTTCTGAAAAGGTCCCTCTGTCTTTTCTGGAAGTTTCCTTCAGGTACTGGAAGGCCACAATTAGGTCATCCTGGAGCTCTCTTTTCCAGGCTGAATAATTCCAATTCTCTCACCCTTTCCTCACAGGAGGGATGAAGCATCTCTCTAATCAATTTGGTGACCACCTCTGGACACACTCCAAAAGGTCCATGTCCTTCCTGTGCTGAAGACCCCAGAGCTGGGTGCAGACTCCACGTGGGGTCCCATGAGAGAGGAATAGAGGGGCAGAATCCCCTCCCTTGCCCTGCTGGCCACACTGCTTTGAATGCAGCCCAGGACACCTTTGGCTTTCTGGGCTGTCAGTGCTCGTTGCTGGGTCATGTCCAGCTCCCATCCACCAGCACTCACAGGTCCTTTTTGTCAGGGCTGCTCTTGATCTGTTTGTCCCCCAGTCTATGTTGTACCAAAGCTGCCCCAACCGAAGTGTACCACCTTGCACTTTGTCTTGTTTAACCTCATGATTCCCAAGGGCCCACTTCTTGAGCTTCTCTGGATGGCATCCATTTCATGCCAATAGTTTTCAGAATTGAAGCCTTAGAACTTGAAAGCATTGCAACAATGTTGCATTTAGTCATTACTGTGCAGGTCTTAGCTGYGATTTCTAAGAATGGATGAAATATGCTGACTATCTTACATAAGTGTCTACTTTAGTCCCTCAACCTGAACATAGCAAAGCAAAAGACAGTTATGYAYGTTTGTTGTATGCAGTGTTCAAGTGTGCTGGAAGATGTAACTTTGATGGTGGTTATATAATAACTTTTGTAATGCATTGTTTTGCTTGTACATTATGTAATTCTGTGTTTGTTGCATGCCCCAGCTCCTTTCAGAGTGTCCTGCTGCATGGAAGCTAATTACACTGGGAGTCTTACCTAAGTACTCTCTGCCTGCTCTCTGAACTGGGAGGTGCAGCCTGTGGGAGGGAAGGGTATTTCAGCCCCACCTCCTCTGGATCACTGGTGACCGTAATAAATCACATTCTGTCCAGGTGCAAAACAACTGGACCAAAGGACTAGAAATGACGGCCCCTGCTGCCCTGGGCAGCTTATTATCTTAATCCTTTCCATAAGATGATTGCTCTCAGTATTAATGAGGTTAAGAAAGGGGGTGTACCAAGAGGTCAAGAAACACCTACTGATTCCTCCTGAGTTGAGAGACTAGATGAAGTATTGTCAGTATCTTCAGTTCAGAGAAATCTTGCTTTTGTCTTCCAGAGAGGGATCTCAAAGCAGTTCAGCAAGATGGTCACCACCAGAAAACTACAAAAAGTGAGTGGCACTTGCCAAGCAGATCTTTCTGCTGCGGAGGAGCCTTTCAGGCCTTCGTCTTCCCCTACGAATATCAGCGAAGTGGGGCTTGTGATCTGGTTATTTACTTGTTCAGAACTAGATTAAGGATGGAGCTTTTGTTTTGCTGTTTGGGTTATTCATTTGTTTGGAGGGGTGGGAGGGTATGCTCTTTTGAATAGACTCCTGAACAGCCACCTGCCTTTAATTATATGTGGCTGATCAGAGTTGGCTTGGAAACAGGAACTTCGTGGTGAAACGTTCGTTGTCTCCTGGAAAGTGGTGCCAGGTGTGCTGCTTATGTGAGCTAAGGTTCTCCTGACTCTCAGGAGTACCTTATTGTGCTGATATTGAAGAGAGTGGTTTTGTTTTTGTTCTGCTGGCATTCTTCAAATAGCCTGTTGGGTTCACAGAGGATGTTTTCTTATCTCTTGGTTAAYTGTCATGTATTCTTTCCATCCTTGTGGTAGGCGTGTAGCAGCTTTTGAGGCTAAACAAAACCAGCTGAAAGACCAACAGAAGGCAGCAAAGCACCCAGGTCAAGCACGCTCCAGATACCAGGGACTCTCAAAAGAGGATAGAGCTATTGCAGAGAGACTGGAGAGGCTCAGGGAGGAAAGGAAACCAAGTGAGTTTTAGAGAATACCATAAATACCTTGGGTGGGAACACTGCTATTTGGGAAACAAGGAACCTGGAGGGAGGGAAATAACAGGAGTTCCAGTCTCTGCGGGACTATATTCTGACCAGCCTTGTCTCACAGAGAAGGGAAAGGATTCTCATTGCAGTCCACAGCTGTCAGGTTCTGGGACAGCCTTCAGGTGCTTACATGAGAAGAAACTATTTGAAACATTAAATGTGGTCTCTAAAASAAAAATAGCATTCTTCAGAGTGGTTACCTGGTTATCATAGAATCATTGAGCCCAGCCATTAACCCAGCATTGCCAAGTCCAGTGCTAAACCATATCCCAAACTGCCACATCTACATATCTTTTGAATACTTCCAAGGATGGTGATTCCATTCACTTCCCTGGGCAGCCTGGTCCAGTGCTTGACAACCCTTTGTGTAAAGCAATTTTTCCTAATATCCAATCAAAACCTCTCCTGGAAYAATTTGCAGCCATTGCTTCACATCCGTTATGTGGCAGAGTGGGTTTCAGTCTGATATGGCTAGGATTGCATTAAGAGATGTGGGACCTATGGACTGAACTGCCTAAATGGCACTTATTTCTTTGTTTGTCCCTAGTATCCCAAGTCAGCTGATTTCCAGATGACATCACCCTCATACCTTCCTTATGGCTAGGAGATAAACTGTGAAGGAGGCAAGGACTTGAAAGAAAGGGACAGCAGTTGGCATCAGGATAGYCGCTGAGTCACTGCAGTATGACCCCTCATTCATGTCAGGGCTGGGTGAGGTTTTTGCTCAGGTGTTCAGAGTCTGATTCCAGAAAGAAGTATACTTATAAAAAACCAAACATGTAGCCTTTTGTTTTCAATAACAAAATAATCTCCTCCTTTGGGTTATTCTGAATTTCAGAGTCCATCCCCACTCAGGCTGAGATCGAAGCTAGGCTGGCAGCCCTGAAGGAGGATAACTGGGGACCTGTTCCATCCACACAGGAAATGGAGGACCGGTTGGCTGCCCTGCAGGGAAGAGATCCTCCTTCTCAAGCTCCCAGACCTGTAAGCTCCCTTAGCTCTTTAGTCAGCAGGTTATTCTGAGCTGACTCAGTAACAGGTGTCCAAAGATGTTAAACCATTCTTCCCTCTTCAGCTTTTTTTGTTCAGGTAGCTTCCTTCAGAAATCTCTGTGTGCTGAATGGGTCATTGCATTGCTCCAGAAGCAAATTGCCAGCCTTCACCAATTCACTGCTTCAATTTGAATTTGCAGCATGTTCCTTTATGTCAGATACAGTTCATGTGTTTATTTTTAGTACTAAATGCTAAAGGTTTTTACTCTCAACCCATTTGTGTACCTAAGTGGTCATAGTTTTTCAGAGCTGTTTGTGTTGGAGGCTTATCAGCCTTGCCTTCTAATTACATCTTGCAGTTGTTACTGCATGCCAGCTGGGCAAAATCCTATTAATTATTCCAGAAATGGAAGCCCAGTGTGGCTTGAGGTTGCAGAGGATATATGCCTTGAAAGCCTATAGGAATAATTCTTGTCCCCAAGATACTGTTTCCTGTGTGCCCAGCTGTTATCATAGGTCTGTTTGGGGCTGCTGGCTGGTACTGTGGAGGATGGCCCTTTGTTGACACTGGACGTAGCAGCAGAGCTGGAATTGGGACCCAGCAGCATGTACTCCTACACATTCAGCACCCCTTTGCCTTGTTTGGGGGACTGCTTTTAGAACTGTGTGTATTCAGCACCTCTGAAAATGAAAGCCTTGCAGATCTTACACCGCAGAACTGTAAACTGAGATTCTCAATATCAGTGAAGGCATCTTTTTATGCTGTTTCCGTCTAGGGTCACCTTGGTTGCCAAACTTACCCTTTGAGTATGCCACTATCCTCTCATTTGCCTTTTCCCACACTCCACTTGTTTCTTAGGTACACCAACCTCCTGATACCAGAAGTCTGGTCCAGCAGACAGATGACCTGTTAACTCAGTTGTCTGAGGAAGTTGCCATTGATGAGCATTACAGACCAAGAATTCAGCCTCAAGGTATCTGTTTTGGCTTTCAAAGACCTGTTTAAGTCTAAAAATGTATGTGCTATGCTGAGAAGGGAATATGTACCTCTCTAGCTAACTTACAAGTGAGCTGAGTGTCTAGTTTGTCCGTATCTTCCCCAAAGTGACCAAGATCCCCAAACTGACCAMGTGCAGCCATCTGGTTGCACACTGGATCTCAGTGTCTTTGCTGGGAGATGGCTCCTTCTTGTCGGAGTTGTATTCAGATTGCTCCTCTCTTTCTCTGAGGCAATCCATCCCTGGAGAGGAGCTGTTGCTACTACTAATGCACCTGTGCCCTGTTACAAAACATCAGAATCTGGTGTTTATCTTCCTAGCTGCAGTGCTTTCTCTGTGATCTCACTGTAGGCCACAGATTAGCTCATTTTCTTCTCTTCATGTACAGTGAGGATCCTACTGGCACACCTTTTCRCCTTGTTAGCCAGTCTCATGGAGAGCAGCAAGCTGTTTTCATAGCATTGTTTGTCATGTTTTCTGTGCCCAAGGAACATTGCTGCTTAGTCATTACTGTGTTCTGTGTGTCTGTCTGCAGCTGTTAGTAGCCAAGGTTTGAATGATCTCAATCGAGAAAGTGAAGATTGTGTTTGCCCTGCAAATCTGGACCCAAAACAGCTAGAAGAAGAGAAGAATAAACTTCTGGCAGAAGCTGCTGTTGAGCTGCGGGAAGAGAACACTAGGCAGGAAAAGATCCTCCAGGTTGCCAAGAGACTGGCAGCACTYAAAGGCGAGGACCCAGAGAAAGGTGGGTAGGAGATGAGAATGCATTTCCAAGAGAAGAATCAAGTTGCTATGACAGTAAATTCTTTTCTGAGAAGCGTTTATCCATTTAATTCCTCTGTTGTGCAAGAAACAGACTGAGATTTGGTTCTTCAGCAAAGTTGTACAGGTTGGTTTGTCATGAAATCAGTATGAAAGAYCTAAGTTGAGGGTAAAGGCTGGGATTGTAAAGTCAGACTGCTTCATCTTCTTGCACCCTTCTTTGGGATAATTCTAGCATGCTCTGATGAAGTAAAGAAAGCTTTTAAAACCAAAGCTGTAATTTTGGTGGAGATTTTTTCCTTCTCTCTTCCAGTATTAGAAACAACCAGTAACATCCTTTTTGAGGAATCCACACCTTAAAAGGATCTGTCTGTGTCAGAAGCAGAATGCCACAGACAGCTCACACCACAAAGAATTGTCACTGGTACATAAGTGGGCACAAGGCAAGTGTGGGTTACAGTCTCACATTTCTTACTCCTACAGTTACACTGGAATCCTATAAGCTCCCTGACAGTGATGAGGAAGTGGCTGAGGAGGAAGCCATTCGCAGAGTGCTGAAACAGGTCAGARGTGGCAGCTGTGGCCTTGTTTATCTTCCTCTTGGTTATGTGTGTGTTACCTGGTGAGCGTACAAAGGATGTGTTTCTGTTCCTGAGAAGAGTTTTCATTCTTTACTTTCCTAGTGCTCTTCCAGTACTAGTACTCATGGGCCATTCAGCTATTTTACAGGTGATTTACAACAATGCTTCTAGTCTGTCACATAGTCTTTCTCATTCATGCTTAGTGTCTCTTGTGGTGTGTGTGTGTCTCCTGTATGAGCCCCACTCTGCTGGTACTTCCTCCTTCTTGTTCTATTTTTTTCCCCAATCAGTCAGAACATGGATAATGACGTGTGCTGTATAGCACAGCTTTTACCTGTGTTTCTCTATAGCACAGCTTTTACCTATGTTTCTCTCTAAAAGTCTGTGAATTGTCTTGCAGGCAGACCTGAGCTTAAGTTTATGTCTGATGTGGCACATGTGTGGGATTGGCGTGATGTTGGGGGCCTGATAGCTGCACTGCAAAGCAGAGTGTGTGAGCTGCAGGCCCSTGCTGCTTCAAGACTATCCACAATAGACACACAGTGTTCCGAGAGCAGAGCGAGTTCAAATCTGTCTGGATAACACCAGCTGTATTCAGACTTCTCATCTCTTGTTAGTGCATGAGAGCAAGAAGGGTAGGAGGTTTAGGGCCTAGAATGAGGCTCTCAGCTGTGTTTGAAACAAGAGACTTCTTGCTTTCTGTTGTCACCAGCTCACAGAGGAAGCAGCCCTGGATGAAGCAAGTGGATTCAACATTCCCCCAGATCAGACCACCCAACCAGGATCCTCACAACAGAACCTGAGTAAGAAAGCAAAACAAAAGGTCGGTGAACTGGTCAGGATCACTTGAATTGACATTTCAGGGTGTCATAAAAGTACAGGTTTGCAGCAGAAGTTTGCTGTATCCTAGGCTTGATGCAGAAAAAAAAAATTACCCAACCAGTTTCTCCAGAGCAAGCAAGCCAAACAGCTTCTGCAAGGCTGTCCAGTTCTGAGCTCAGCTGTGAATCATCCTTGTCCTTTTAAAAGGAATTGTTCCCTGGAATACAATTCCTTTCAGGTTGGCTTTGTGTTGAATWTTACAGTGCCATATCAATCAAGAGAAGTTGATAGACACCTCACAATATGGATATTAGAGAATTACACACACAGATATATATATATGTATAATTAGACCAGCAAGGCCACATCTAGTACAACACAGCCTGAACCAGAGCAAATGGGAGGTCTGCCAATGCTTTCAGCATGTGCAGAATAGAACCTCTAGGTAGTATTCTACTGTCTTGTTTTCTCATATAACATGTCTGAGGAAGGAATTAGTAGCAAGATGCCCTATGCTCAGAGTGGATTCTGACCTACTGTGGAAATACATGCACGATCTCTAATGTATATTACAAGAATTAAATGTACCTGTGACTCACAGGCACCTGTCAGGCCTGCTACAGTGGAAGAAATTATATAATTGTTAACATTATCGAAAACATCCATCTCAGGTATGACACCTTGCATTTCTGGGATTTCTGATGTGAAAGATAGTGTTAGGAAAAGATTGTGTCAGGAAGCTGCCTTTGCCCGTGTTAGGCAGTATGTCTGTGTGTGTTCAGCTCCACAAGAGTTCTCTGTAAGGGAAAAGGAGACCATAGTTATCTGTATGGATATATGTAGATTATGATTTCAAAAGATCTTTTTCTTCCAGCCTCAGGCACAAATGAATAGTGGGGGCCTTTTGGCAAAGCACTTCTTTTGTCCCACAGTTTTCTTTCTACAACAGGGAGAACACAATGCCCCCACCTCTGCATTCCTTTTCCTTCTCGCACAGCCACTTCCAGCAAAACTGCTTGATCTCTTGCTTTTGCAGTAAAAATTGTCTGTCTCATGGTATTGTTGGTGCCTATTCTGGGTGCCTCCCAGAAGATTTAGGTTTCATGCCCTTGACACAGAACAGCCAGTGTGGGTGTATGTCACCGTAGACACTAAATGAGGCTGAATACCTGTTTACATTCCGAGCAACATCTATTCAAACCCATATTCTAGGAAGTACCTTGGGTTTTTATTTAACAATCTAGACACATATGGGGCCTGTTCCTGTGCTCTGGGCAAATTTATCTCACAGACTTAGGATCAACAGAGAGTAAACTATGGACCACAGGATAGGTCATTGTGGCCATCATGCATTACAGTTAAAGTCYTTTATTGCCTCTGCTGGGGTTTGAACTCTGTGTCTCTTGGTTTCTGTGTGAATTAGAGCCACACTCCAACCACCACAGCTCTYGTGAGAGCAGATGACAGTGATGAGGATGAGTTACCTTGGTGCTGCATCTGCAACGAAGACGCCACTTTGCGCTGCCATGGCTGTGATGGGGACCTCTACTGCCAGCGCTGTTTTTGGTGAGTCTCGCAATTCCTCCGGGTCTGAGAGGTGGGTCAAAAGTAAGCTTGGCCCCTTTTGTTTGTTTTTCTCATTGGGCAGAAAAACAGGCAGTAGGAGATTTGAGGATTCCAGATTTGAGCGGAATGCAAGTTGTTACAGAAATACTTTGTGTGATCAGTAGTTGTCCCAGGCTYCAGGGACTAAACTGGTCCTAGGCAGAAATGCTTCAGTGCATGTTTGGGCTCATTGTCTGAGTGTTCTCTGGAGCAGCTGATGCACTGCATTACGTGGGATGGGATAAATGAGACCATTGTTCAGTGACTCCTATGGCTTGTTAATGACATTGATKGATGACCTTGGATGGATTGCCTTAAAGAGGGAGATCAGATAGTATAAATTYCTGAGACTTTATTAGGTTGAAACTTCGCAATCTTAAACCATATTAGAAAAACCTTTGTTGAAATATATATGTGTGAACCKTTTTTCACCAGCTAGGCCTTGGAGCAGCTGTAGTCTTGGTTCTTAAATATGTGTTACTTGATTTTTGACAAAATTTTCATGTCTCAGATTTGGAGGGTTAATTCAATTGAATGCAAAGCTATTCCTAACAGGTTGTGTGACTTCTCTTTCTTCGTGCCTCAAAAATATTGGCTAGTTGRCTGGGTTCTGGATGACATTTAGACAGCAGGTTGCTAAAAATCTGGTTTGGATAATTAAGAGATGCTTTTGTGTATGTGTTTTTATAGAGGAACACAAATGCAGTGGGGGAAAAACCATATGAAAATGCTAAGAAAACATGATTGGCAATGTTAGATTATTAAAAACAAAGCATACAAACAAAAGTATCTGACAGCAAACATCAGTAAAAGCAGAATCAGCCAACTGGCAGATGAGTGAGTGTATCAGTCACACGCTCCAGACAAAAGCTTGTGTCTTAACACTGCCTGTTCCTGAGCATGGTTAAGACAGCTGCCAATACACTGGATTATTTTCAGTTATTTTCCAGAGTTTTCTGGAGCAGATTGTCATTTTGTCTGTTGCCACAGAAGTCACTAATGTCCCTGGAATCACAAACATAGTGTTGAAAGTGAGCCATTAGGTTATGAATCTCCCCGGGAGGGAAAGAAACAGAAGGACCTGTTGACATTTTTGAATCCAGCTGACAAAGAGGAGCAGACCTTCCTGTAAAGCACCTCAGAGGTTTCTGTTACAAGTAAATACCTTAAGTAGTTAGTCCACATGGCTGTTTGCTGGGTCCTCACAGACAACACTTGGGATAAGTTTCTGCYTAAGGGCTGCTGGGAGATACCTTGTGCAGTGGCTAAGGGTGAGTTCCTGGTCTGGGTATTTACTTCTGACTGTGCTTTGTGTTTGCTTCTTAGGGAAGGCCATGAGGAGTTTGATCTGAAGGACCACCACACCTCCCGATACCATCTTCCTTGCAAACAGAAGTGATCGCACTCTCATGGGCAGAAAAGGAGCTGGAGAATGGGAAAACAGAGGAGCTGGCCAGATAGGAAGAATCCAAGTGGATTTGCAGCCAAAATGGGTGATGTTTTGGACAGTTAAAGGATGTGCTGTAATCTGAGAAAGGCTTGGAGGGCATGTGACTTTGTCTCCACGAATACACCAGAGAAGTACAGGGTTTGCTGTGCATGCGTGGGGGTGGATAAATGAGTACTTGGTATGAGGAGGTGGATACTAGTCCATAAATACAGATGGTAAAGCAATGTGGGTAGCAGTAAAGATGTATGTTTAAGGCAGTACTGTCTGGCTGATAAAAAGTTTCATGCTTTTACTAACAGCTTATACACTGGTTCAACAGGCAGCAAAGCACTTTGCACTAAGAAATCTGTCTGAATTGTGATCACATGTGTGATGAGAACTTTCAAAGCATAATAAAAATTATTTACAGAGACCTGTGGTTAAAGTCTCTCCTGAAAATGCCTGATAACCCTTTACAAAGTTGCTTTCTCATAGTGGTATGTTAGTCCTACTGTCAAAAGGCTCAGGGAAAGAAATGAAGAAAAGTGAAGTCATCAAAAACGTTTCTGTGGTGTYTGGAAAAGGTGCAGGGCAGTGTTGCTCACTGAGGTGAAATGAAGGAACCTTTGAAAAGGTAATCTGCTGCTGCTATAGTGCTGTGATCTGCAGTGGCTRTGCCAAGGTCATGTGGTCTGTAAGTGCAACAGTCTGAAAGAGTTGTGTATTTGTCCGAAAGCAGAATTTGACTTTGTTTATTATTTTGTAACCTAGAAGGATAAAGATGTTATCTGTGTGATGCTCTTTCTCTGGTTATAAGAGAAGCTCAGTTGCATATGTCCATATCCCTCCCTGGAGACAATCCAGAAGCAAGTGGCACTTGCCAGTGCCCAGAGCACCCAGAATTGCTTCAAATAGCCAACTAAATTTGCTGTAAACAGGCTCTACTATTCCATCAGAATGAGCGCTTTCCAAATAATGTGACTTCTGAGAGAGCTCTCTAAGGTTAATAAATTCCAATGGCAAGAAAATGAAGGAATTGCCTTTGACAGGGAATTTCCAATGAACCTTGCCTGTCTGGTTTGACACTACCACTCCCAGCTGTCTGCCTTGCCCTTGTGCTTAAGGTCACTGCCTCACAGGTGAAGTGATGAAATCGTGTTTGCCTGCACCTCTGTCACTTCTGGTTAGAGGACGGCAAATAAATTAAACCACTCTTGAAGATGGGTTTCTGCTGATGTGCTGCTCTGGATCAAGCCTTATAACATGAGCTTCATTCAAACAATGTAGAATAGTGCTACTGCAGGTAACACACTAAAAATGACAAGCTGATCCAGCAGTGCCATCAAAATGTTTTGTTAGGAAGGAGTGGCAAAGCCTGACTTCTGTGGAGSATCTTCTTTCTCCTGGTAGTTCTTGCTTTACCAGTGCCTGTCTCCTTGGGACGGGTAGATGCAAAAACTACTTGAGTTGTTCTGATGCAAGAGCTCACAATGAACCCTGTATTATACAAAATTTWAGTAAGTTGCAGGCCTCAGAAACTTGCAGTCTTAAAAATGAAAATAAATGCTGTTCTTCCTTTGTGTTAYCATAGGAGTGACACTTTTCATTGCTATTTGACATAGATGATTAGTCTGGTAGTAACACAGCCCAGTTCTGTCTGAGGCTAAATCCTTCACGTTTAACATATACAGGAGAAGGTGCAACCATCTGTTTTSATATCTCTCCTAATATTGACCCACTCCTTTGGCTTCATCCTCTGTCCTTTCCAAGCAGTTAGTAGTAATTTTAACTCTTGATTTACAACTTCTGTTTTTTTTTAATATCTTAGTATGAACTGGTGTGATACTTGCAACATTTTGAATGCTTCGTAAGCCACAACCAAACTTTGAGCTCCCTTGCATTTAGGCAGCCTCTGTCTTGTAAGCCCTGCCCTGTTCACATCTGTAGTAATGGAGCAGGTTGCAGCCGGAAGCAGTTTATTTAGATTCCTAGATTGGTTTCTGTGGGGCCATCCCAAGAAATCCAGAAATGCACCCAACCCATTACCTGAAATAGAACTTAGTCATACATGGAAGAGTCTATTCAGTCATAGAGACACATGCTGCTGCTTTCCTTGCACCACTAATGGACATTTTTGTGGCTGCTGCACTTTCTGCACRTAATGGGCCATTTTAGTAGTAGCCCAGTCACTTTCCCCTGAAAAGCCATTCCCACTATAGCTGTTGCCTCAGTGAACTCCTGTAGAAGGGGCAGAGGGGTGTCCAGATCAGCTGTCTGCAGAAAGCACACTTAGCCGAATCTGTTGTGAAAGGAATGTTGCATGAGCTTTAACTGGGCAGTGCATTTTTAGCTGTGTTGCTTACTCCCTATCCTTGTCTTTGAAAAGGTGCTGGTGAACAAGTAAAGATACTGGTAAACAATCAGTTCCTGACAGGCCAAATCAACTTCAGTCATAGCTGCTCAAGGAGAGAARACAGCTTGGTATCTTCCAGAAAGAGTTTCAGCTTGTTTGTTCTTGTCTTTGTCTCTTGTCAAGTCATGAGAGACAATGAGATTTTCTTTCCCTCTCATAATGTTTTGCATGTGAATTATCAGATGTAGCCTCCAATCCAACAAGAATTCAAATTAGAAAAGCACATGAACTTTCATACATTGGGTTATCTGGGTATAGTTAAGAAGGCAAAGTTCCTTTTGAAGCAACATTCTTAGATAGTAGCTATATACCTATGCCTGTGGTGGTCCTGAGAAACAGTAAAGTTAACTGGAAGATGTTCATAAAAAGAATTTTCAAACATTGATCTTAATCTATCCTTCTGGTCTAGGGTGAGAACAGCCAAAATGTGAATAAAACCAAGTATGATTTAGTACTGCTTAAGAGCTAAACAAAAAAGAAGTTGCTCTTATGTTGGCCTTATTGCCTTATGTCGATTTTTTCTTTTGCACCAGTGAGCTGAGAAATCATCTACCACTGGCCACATGTAGCCTTGCTCCCCTGATGTCACTGTGCTTAGTTGAAGTGCTCTCACATATCCGTATGGATCAGAATTCCTTATGTATCAGAGCMAACAGCACATGACAGCATCTGCAGCTTCCTCCTTTCCTGCTACTTGCAGAATAAGCACAAAGATGACTCCCATCAAAGAAAGTTTTGAGAACCTGTTTTTTCTTTGGTTCTAACAATGCCTACCWTAAACCATAGACAAATATTCTTCGAGCATCACTCCATATTGAGGAAATACAGAACAATCCCCAGGGGGGAGAAAATACTTCTATTGGGCCAGAGGAGAGGCATRTCATGTCTTTGTGCTGTTGCAGCTCAGCAGAATAAAACGCAGCCTGTTGATAGGGTATGTAAGTAATCTGGACTCATATACTACTGTGCTGTAGCTAATTGTATCTGTAGTTTAGGACACTCTGCTCTTGGCCTGTCCACCTAGATCTTCCACCTGAACTTCTGTTTGATCCTAGTCTGTTTTTAACAGAGCTCAGTGCTTTTGTCAAAGTGCCGCTCTCCTTTCTCAAGAGGTGTGATCCGCAAGTCTTAGCAYGTTATCCATAAGCAGTGCCAGATCTGCAACCATTGCAGCTCTGGATTTAATTTTTTGTTGTCKTTTACTTATAAAGATAAGATTTCAAGGGGGGGCAGGCATGTCTCCCTAGCCACTTTCTAAGCCAAAAATGGCATGTTCCCAGGACTGCCATGGATATATATTGGATCTGACTATTTCTCCAACCTAGTGGGTGAGGCTTAGAACATCTTGGACCTGCCTCAGAGCAAGACATGAGCTCCATGGCTTGCCAACTTCCAGTCAGATACAAGAACAGCATATGAAGGGAAGCAGGCCCTTACATCACACTTGTTACTACAGTTCGGATTTTGTCCTTTCAGAGGACATAGCCCACAGTTTGCTCATTGACACCTGGAAAATAGGAGGGAAGAACAAGATAATAGTCATCACTTTTCTACTGATAAAGATAGAAAGACTAATGCATTTAAGATATTAGCGGTCCAGCTCAGGAATTCTTGTTTGTTAGCTAACCTGCATGTCCCTCTTGTTACATGGGTGGTCCCTGCTGCCCCTGGCTCACCAAACAAGATGTACTCAAAAGTTGGCCTTGAACATACTGCTCCATAGGAGCCCCTCTAGATGTGACTCAGAGGCTCATCTCTTTTGTTTGTGTGGCAGGCATCAGCATAGGGACAGGGCATAATGTGAGAGTGCTCTGCCTAAGCAATCAGCCTCCATTTGCTGTCTTATTTCCTAGTCACATGTGTCAAGTTACTGACTTGCTGAGAGGCTGGATGTCCTTTCCTCTGTATTTTTCCAGGCAAACATTACTTGTAGCCAGAAGAGTTTGTGCAGCAAGATATTGTGTCCTACCTCACTGCTCATTTGTGAGACCTACCTGTCTGCAAAAGACGCTCCAAGATGCTCCCTGAAGGGAAATTGGGAGCAGGTATTTTTTTACTTCATTTTTTCTTTAATATCTAAAGAGAGAGCAAAATCAAGCAGTGCATGGCTGGTTTTCCGAGCTTTAATATAAAAAAAAAAGTATTTTTCCAATATCTTTTTCAACTAGAASAAAAATCATTCCCAGAGCTTGTTCCTTTAGAAAAGGCTTCTAAATCTTAAGTCTTAAATTCCACAAAAAGGAAAAAAAAAGTTAGCCATTAGTCTTCACAGCTGCTTCACAAACTTCCCCTTAAGTAGACCAGGTGCACTCAAACATTTTCCTTCATTCCTATTGTATATTCTCTGTCCAACCTTCATAAATAACAAGGCTTAATAAGACTTACAAAGTACRTGCAATGCTGTAGAGTCAGGTACAGCAGTAACAGGCAGGAGATCACAGTTGGGTCCCAGCCAGACTGAAATGAGGTGCAGCTTAACAGTGGCTGATTTTCCATGTTGATGAATGAGTGATAACCAATGCCTTGTTTTCCTTGCAGTGGACGGAAAAAAAGAAGTCTTGATGAGCTCCTGAGAATTGTATTCAGTGCTCCTTGGCCAGCATGGAAATTCCTAGAAGAATCTATAGGAAGGACATCTTGTCCTGTTCCTCAGGTTAACACGATCTTTAAGAATCAGGAAAATGCACAATTGAGCTCCYTGCTGTGTGTGTAGATCTGGAAGGAGTGGAGACTTCAAACCACTGGTACAAAGTTCACAAACTTGGTGATATTTCTCAATAACAGTAAGTCCTAAACATATCCAGAAGTTCTGTTGCTGATCCTGCTTTTTGGGAGGAAGATACCCATTTCCTTGTAACCAAAGCTGGGTGTTCATGTGAGTAAGGTCATTTCTTCTGAGGATTGGTGACTCTCCGGAGACCTCTCAATCGACTAAGCAATTCCGTAATAAAGTCCTACAATAAGAATTGATTGAAGAAGGATGTCATATTACTTCCAGTGCTCACCAGTCCAAACRCTACTTATATTTGCATCATTCCCACATTCACTCTCATGTTGAGCAGAAACCAGAATTTTGACATATATTGAGTAAACCTATCTTTTGTATAGGAAAGGAGACYTTGTGATGGATGAGCAGGGTCTAAAAGCTCCTGTTTCCCTTCCCTGTCTCCCTTTGAAACAGCCACRTTTACTTTCTCCTCAGGAGCTAGCTTGCCCTATATACTTGCTTTTGCCACCATGAGATGATTTCAGGATGCTGTTGTTCTCTTTTAGCTTCCACTGCTTCCTGTTGCCACCATAACCTCCTGCCCACCTCTGCTGCCTTCCCCCAATCTAGGGCAAAGCAAGCTGTCCCTCTTGTTGAACCAGTAAAGCTCCATGTTGGGTATTGCAAGCCATCTTGGAACTGTACCAGGTCTATAAGGAAGTGGCTGGCAGAGAAGAGGTGGAGCAAAACATGTAGGACTAATGATAACGTTGAGCAGGGGTTGAGAGCAGGCAGAGCAGATAGATGAGCAGTTAATGGAGATAAACCCTGACTACTTCGCTGACACAGCCAAGGACTATGAACTAAACTGGCCTATCCAGTTATTCCAAGCAGAAGGCAACGTAATAGTGCAAACTTCACCCTCTGCATGGCAAGTAACATCACCATAAAGGAGTGTGCAGCCTTTCTTACCCGAAGATATGTCTACATGTTCTCGTAATTAAGCAAGGTCACTGGAAGTACTGCAGCTTGTTACCATGTTGCTGTGTGGAAGCCCAGCTTCCTCACTTGGTTGGTCAGAGATTGCCACAAATGCTCTGGAAGTGCCTGGGATCATACATTCAATTTAAGTCAGTTCTTCAGTTTCTTGTCTCCTTTCTGCAGTTAGGTTGCTGTGATCTTTCAAGGGGACTGGTTTCAAGATCCCCAGGGTGAAAGTACATGGTTTTGCCAATGGGGCAGCAGTATCTGTATTCAGCAGGTATTGTGCTGTCCACAAGACTCCTTGATGCCTTGTGACTTAGCAGAGCAAACTCTTTTCAGTTATCTCTGGGAATGTGGGATTCTGTCTCAGATCTGAAATTCAGACACTCTGAAAACTATTTCTATATTGCCAGCTTTGTTGAAAGCCCTGCTAGGAGAATATCTGTAATGATTGCTACAACCCAATTTAATTTCAGTGATAGTCATGTATTCATCTCATTTTCTGTATGTTCATCACTGTGCAGCCACATCAGCTTGACAGCGTGGAGTCTGATGGATGATGTGCAAGCAGAATATTCACGTGCAGTGCATGTGGCTGAGGCAGTGATGGGGACCCCATTTTGCACAGGTGTGCAGTGCAGCAAAGGCAGTCCCTGTGTGGTGCATGGACACAGTATTGCCTCTAATCCTCTTGACATTGTGGGATTTAACTGTCTAATTCAAAGTCAAAACTTRTGAAGTTCACATGAGGGGAAAAAGCCATGTGTAAAACTAACTTAATGGCCCCTGCTCAGCAGTTATCTGCCAGTCCAACCTCAGGGGCATCCTAGRTTCTTGTCACTTACGACCCTAGAGTGGTTTAAGCTAAGCATGCATTTAGGTAACAGTGTTATGTGAGCAGAAACRGTTATGTGAGCTGTGTCACTGTCTATGGCTTTTCTACACTGAGGACCAAACAGCAGCTCAGACCGATCAGCTTAGGATRTCCAAAACATGGAAAAACTTCCTCTGTTTGTAAAATATAATTCCTTATTTGCTCCAGTGCTCTGCTTTCAGCTCATCCATGTGCATTTATACATAATTTTACAATCACAGAATAAAGAGGCAAACCCCTCTCATTATGATTAAACAGATCTGCAGCACAGTAGAATCTTGGCTACTCAGCTAAGTAACAGCAATGTAACAGAATAGTATAACATATATACATGTAAATATGGTGCTTCACTCACCTCTGTGGGGCTGGAGCACTCATGAAGGATTTCCTAAAGAACAAGGAGTTACCATTTTAGTATTTTATTAGTTGATCTAATTCTCCCCTCCCTACAAAAAGGCTGCACAATCTTAATACATTTAACAGGCAAAGACACAGAGAAGCATCATGCAACACTGCAAACACCTATTCTCTACCCCACATGCCATTAGCCTTTATAAAGGCTAACTTCCCTAACTTGAAGTCATCAAGTCCCTCTATCTGACCTGTAGTTTTAATTTCTGTTCTTCATTAGGGACCTCCAGGAGATCTTCAAGATCAATTTGTGGTTCAGGAGCTGCTGCCTCTGTTTCCTCCCTTAGCTAAAAAGGGAAAAAACCACCAGAGTTAATTAACCTTCAAGCTTCTAAGAACTCTAGCGGCCATCTTTAAAGAACTAAGCAGCTGAATTACACTAAAACTATGCTGCAAAATTGAGGTCAAGATATAAATCATCTCAAAATCAGGAGGTTCTTATAATGAGGGAGGGCATGGATTCCAACCCTTTGTGGTGTCTGGTAGAGCCAGAAATCCTGATGTACACATTCTTCATCTTTTCCAACTACTGCACAGCTCAGGGATCATCATCCATCACTGGAAGACCAATGCAAGAATATCCAACTGTGATGCAGTGTATGTCAGCATGTGACACCCTTTATCTATGAAGAGTTCACCAAAAAGAACTCCAACAGGATTAATCTTAGAAAGGCATAAATAATAGAAGGAGATTTTAGGCTTCTATGCTAGCTGCATTCACATAGTATACTATATTTTTGCACTAATGGAGAGAAAAACAATTATGCTTTTGAAAGACCTAACAGTATTTTGCCAGCTTTCTCTAACAGACATGAGTGGGATATAACAGTCTCCTTTAATGTAAGTGGGACCCCACGTTTTGGTGATTGGAGCAATAATCTTGTCCTGCAAGGGGGTATTAGTTGGAAACGTTTGTCARCTTCATCACAAACACATTTAAGCTTCACAAGTCTCCACAAGGAAAACAGGCTGTGTTGTGCCAGTGTATTTGCAAAATCAATCTTTCACAGCAAAACACTAGTGATATTTTGGCATAGTAATCAGCAGAATAAGGATATGGGTAAAGAGCACAGTACCTGATTGCCAGGTAATGGCATTTGTGGATATGTGTGTAAAACATTAAACAATAAAAGCAATACTTACAGGAAAAAAAGAAACTTCTTCCAAGCAGTCACATACCAAACCAGARAGGAAGTAGAAAGCCTTTGTTTAGCTTTGATATGCAGCTGACTTAACAATAAATAATAAACCAGAGTTAAATATATTGCACTGTGACCCACACAGTATTTCTTCTTAAAAGTAATAGTTTTCATGTGATTTTTTAGAAAACAGGTGTTGATCCAGTCTGACTTTGTCTCTGGTTAAGAAGCTAATTAGGCTGGTAGAGTGAGATAGGGTAGGAACTCACTGTGGCTTTTTAGTCCTAGTGTGGATGCTGGTCTGCCTTCCATATGCAAGGAATCATCTTGCAAATCACAGKGTCTTAGTTTTGTGGCAAAAAAGCCTCATGACAGTAAACACCATAGCATTCCCTGTCTCAGGAGGTGGTGTTTGAATTAGCCTTGCTGGCATTTGAATTTCTGGAAGACCCAAGGAACAGACACCCAAGGACAGGTGGAGAAAAGTAAGAGGTTAYGAGGAGACAATGTAATGGAAGTTTATTGATCCAGGGAAGCCCAAAGAAGCAGGGCAACTGAATAGTCTTGTCACAATGCACAGAGGAGAGCAGGATGACCTGCTGGACATACTTGGGTGATTACAAATAATTTACTGTGGCACATGTATGTATTTGAAAAGATCCTRTTAACAATCTCTGACCTGGCACAGCATCATGTTATGTAGTTCCTGGTAGCAAATCTCTTATGCTGGTCTGAGTACATCAGGAAGCAGGGAAATCTGTTGTGCTGAAGAGATACTAGCAAGGGCAATCCACTCACAATCTGCTCCTGTAAGGGCATGGCTGGGTTTCTCACTTGTGCCTGCTGRAATTTTGTAGTAGGGAAAAGAATATCCTCTTTGGGCAGCTACTCTGATGACAGCAAACAGCTCTTAATTCTCTGAAAAGCAGAAGTGATAAYGTAACCTGTCTTGTTTTTCTGATACCTTTACAAATGTAAAGGTCTATCTCTGTAGACTTCAGCAAATAAGAGTAGCACATAGGGACCCCATCTTGGGTCATGTTGCTGGACATAACAAGTGCTTCTTGTCTGTTCCAGGAAAAAAGGTGCCAAAAATTTAACTCTTTAAAACTACAATAATTCTCCAAGGCGCAAGATGTTCTGTTAATCAAAGCAGCAGCCATTCTCCTTGCTTATCTCTGGCAAACCTTTACAGTCAGGCAAAGGGCTTTCTGAACTGAGATATTGACTCCAGGGACAGTCCCTGGACAAGTGCAGGCAAAGTTGAGAAGCAATATTGTCACTGCCACTCTTGGACAGCCTTCATTCACCAGGACAACCATGCTGGCACTTTGCAGACACTGAATTTTGTCTGTCTGACTGAGTCTGGTGATAACTTCTGTTCCCATGTATGCTGTGTAATATTTCATAAAGCACTATCAAGAGGCCTCAGATACAGCTGAGAATTTATTACTATCATTTTATAAGCTATAGAAAACAACTGGAAATTCACAACTAAATTGAACAGATTAACCATTTTTACTAAACAAGCCATGTTTAGAAAATCTAATGTTAATTAGCAGAACAGAAGCAGTAATATACTCATTTTCAGAGGAGCCAGGCATTGCAGCATAAGGAAGGACCTTTTTCTCTGTATTTATTTTCTTCCTGTTCTTTGCATATGGCRTAAATTAAAACAGAACTATTTTTATCTTCCAACATGGCATGAGAATCTGATACATTCCCACAAATATAAAATAGGAAACAGTCACACAGAAAATTATGATAATACTGATTAYAATAATAAAAAATAAACAATAATAAGGACAGACTCAGAAGCAGTTCCTGAAGTCTAGGTCTTCAGCTGTGGTGCTGACATCGTTCTATGGCTCTCAGGCCCAGAAAACCAGCCTGGGCAGGCAAAAGCTCTGTACCATCATRGCATTTACAAAACCCATCTTTCCTGGGCTATTCTAACATGTCCACTTCCATTGTTCGTTGCAATTTGAAACTGCTGATGCTCAGAGCAGAAGATTCTAAGTAGTCATCAGCTCTTATTTCCTTGTATCTCAAAAGTGTGGTTAACACTGTACTGGGGTGCAAATACAGAAAACAGGACAGAAAGGACTTGGCAGTTCATTTAGTCCATCCCCATCCAGGACATAAATAAGCTGTTTTACASAGTTTGTTAAACCCATCTGTGTTATCTGTTGAAGGTGTACTGATAGAGATTCTCACAGAGAAAGTTGTGTTCTCTTACTGTATCAGCCACTGCCCAAGAGAGAAAAGCAAAACCCTTAGTCAAGCTATTTAAATGGCTTTAAGATCATGATGTACAATGAGGGAAAACCTTTCACTTTTTACTGTACCACCCTCCAAAGGATTCTCTCAAACACAGAAGAGCACTATTGCTTCTGAAATCACCCAGCATAAGTGTCCTGCATCTAAGAACAACATACGAATAAGAGATAATGCAAGGCTAAAATTTCAGGCAGTCCTGGAACCTGAATGTTACTAACCCACTGAAAAAAATYGTTTACCCTGCAACAGCTGAAGTATAGACCTGTACTATTCAGGTGCTGGATGTAGGCACTCCTGGATCTTTCCTACAGGGACAGCTCTCAGGCAGGCAGGAAGAATTTAGGAGGGACAGTTTCTGGTGCAAAGGGAAGCTCAGGCAAGGAAGTCAGCTCTGGGGATTTATGAAGATGAAGGCATAAGATCTCTACATTTTGAGCAAAGAGGTTTTTTCCCTTTCTTCCCTCCTGCCAGTAATGTGTCCAGATTCTGCAGCTACAGATGCAGCACATTGCAAACTGTCTCATTCAAACAACAGGTAGAGCATCACTGTAGTGTCAAAACCAAATGGGGATATACACTTTTCACTCTAACCCAGCTAGCCTGGATGCTGTTYGCTGCAAAGTCACTACATGGAGGTCACTAACAAGAAGCATCCTGGGTTTATACATCTCTCTAGGTTGTGCTACTCTTACTGAACAATAGCTACACCCCCTCAGTGGGTGCAACACCCGGCRGTTCAAAGCCAGTTGGATTGCATCAGTGCAAGCTTCCCTGCCTGCTGCCAGACCTAGAGAGTGCAGCAGAGGGGGCACAGAGATACCTGCTGAAAGCCGAAGATGAGRAACTATTTCCAGTGAGGCAGAGCAAGCAAACCTCAGCACACATGRCCTCTAGACCCATTCACCTGACAAGCAAGGGGCTGAATTGCCCCAGCTACTCACTYACCCGGCACTGGTACAGCTCCTGCAGCTGGGCATTGATCCATTCCTCCAGGTCTAGCCAGCGCTGTAAGTCTTTGCGGTTGTACTTTATGGTCAACTTGCCCAGTTTCCTGTGTGATGATTCTTCCCCAGGTTTCTCAGGCGTCTGGAAAGTCACCCGGGGCAGTGCACTGGAGTTGCTGGCCATCCTCACCGCTTCCTCCTCTGATAGCAGGAACTCACCTTCCTGTGGACTCCCTCGCACCTTTTCTCTGTCTCCTTTAACCAAAGCCTTTCTGCAGTGTCTCCCAGCACAAGCTACTCACAGGTGCCAAAGGTGGGATGCATTGGTGATCCCAGGGAGAAGGTTGCAAGTGGCCACGGGGCTGGGCAGCAGTGAGGCTCTGCAGGCACAGTTACAGCCGTAGATTCTTGGGTTTCACCATCAGATGTGCTGACAGGAGCAGGGAGGCAGGCGGAGTTGTTGTAATAACATCTGTTGTTAAAAGAAGCCAAGTGAACCAGGGAATTGATGAACYGTGTTTGTTAATATTTAACGCAAGTCAGCTCCAAGAGGTGGGGAAGGAGGAGGTTTTAAATTACTGTTTTCCTACAGGCATAACTTAGATGCATGTGCAATTCCAGAGGGCTGATCCATACATAATGCATTGAATCTTACTGCAGTTCATACTCAGTAAACTGCCTGCAGCTACAGGGTTTAGGTCCCACTGAGATGGTGTATTTGGCATTTTCCAGCTAAAGCACTGGACCCAGCACAGATGAGTGGTTTGGAATCAGGCAGCTCATCCACTATTTTACAGCAGTATGTCAGGAAATGACACTGCAAACCAAAGTTGGGCTCAGCAGTTCCATTTTTCATTCTACATTCTGTAAGTTTACTCCAGGTCTCTCAAAAATTTCTGTAGAAATTCCAGTGACATGAATTTGAAATTATTTGAGCAAGGAACTTTCAGGATAAAGGAAAATATCTGTGCTCATATTAGGAAAAAMGTGCAGTATTTGATGTGATGGCACTGCAAGGAAAGGCCTCACTAGGGATATAGCATTATCTCCTTACTGCAGAAAAGCATTAGTGGTAAACAGGTTCACCTCTGAGGCATCATAAACTGCTATCAGGCTATGTATGGTCATTGCTTGGTTTACAGCTCCTTCCTAACTGGTTAAAGGTCTGCTGCATTATTGCCCTAGACCATTTAGAAGGACGTATGTGAGCAGTGCACGGAGGAACAGAAACTGGACTGGCTGTGTTTACAGGGTGCCAGGACACTGGGACACCTGTGTCCCTCCAGAAACTGTCACACCTCTTTATTCAGGTGTTCCCAGAGTCCTTCAGCAACCTGCCCAGGAAGCTGCCCTACCACATGGACAAACRAGCTGAGACCCACCACCATGAAGCRGCTCAAACACTCCCAATCTCATGATTCGTGTGGCAATAGCAARTAAGCCTCTGCTACTGGGAGCCAAAGTATTTCCAGTTTGGAGGCCAAGAGCCAGATAAACCAAAGGAAAAGCAACCAACCCTTCTCCTACTGAAAGACAGTGCCAGGCAGCATGAGGCAATGTGCAGAGGGACTGGTCTCTGGAAAGCTTACCCAGTCCCCCTGCCACAGTTCTGTCCCAGAGGAATGGTGGTACAGCCAGACAGCAATATCTTGTACACAGGTCATGGAAAAAAAGCGGGGCCATTACAGCCCTTCTTTTCATCCTTAATGTGAGCAAAAAAATAAAAGACTTTTCAGATGGGAAATTCTGCAATTTGCTTTCACATATGTGAAAGAATTAAAGTATTAAAGTTTACCTAAAACTGGTATCATCTCCTCTGCTTTTCTGACCGCCTAAAACTTCTGTTCAGACGACAACTGTCAGCTATTTAATTTTAGCAGCTTTACCCATTTTTTCCTCACTTCTTGGCTGTATCGTCCCTCTAATCTCACTTCTAAAACTTTCTTATTTAGATCAAAGTTACAAAGAAAAATCTGTGTTTAGATGCACATAGCATACTCAGTGAGTGCAGACTCTTCAGAGATTCTTAACTAATGGAWGCCTTGCAAAACCATTCATCTTATAATGCCTTTACAACTATTGACTTTTCAAAGKTTGATGTGGCCTTAAAGGGGAAGATATTCACAAGGTAACTCTGGACCAAAGGRCACACACTCAGGTGACAAGTTCCTTTCTCCAAATAGAAGTGCTCTATTTTGGTGTTTAAGGACTGACATATTTRAAAGGGGAAATGGAGAAAATTGTACTTCTTTGGTCCCAAGAATCTCCAGAGAGGCTGACATTAAGACCAGAGAAAGGATTAGACTCACAAGAGAAGTTACCTGTTATCACTGAGTCACTCCAAATATCTGCAGTGGCTGAAGCCCTGGCAGGGAAGCCCCTCTCTTCCATCCCCTGTGCTGACTCTGGTGCACTCTATTCAGCAGTTTAGTTAACCTCTACATGAAAGATGGCATTTGCCCTCTTAATATTCTGCCAGCAGGGTTGAATTTATGAAGCAGAGGATCCAGAAGTCACAGGAGAGTTGTGAAAATGAGGGAAAAGGGAACATAACCAGCTCTAGTGACTCTTCAAACAGYTTGAACCACTGTTCAGTCATAACCTCACTTAAGCTGAGATGGCACATCTGAAAAGATCCACAGGGCTGTACTCTGAGTAACAGACTCACCCCACAGCCTGTACTCTATCAACAAAGTGACATACAAGGGGGACAAACGCCTTGTGCCCTCATGCTGCTCCATCAGTGCCACCCTACAGCAGAACAAGACGTTCAGATGATGATGTCAGAGCCCCTCTCAGGATAGACATAAGCCAAAATGAGCCAGATTACAGGATGTTCATCATATTGCCTTGGCTTAAATCAGCTTAGTCATGAACTCTTTGTAATAAGAGGTGGCAATATAGAAGTAAATGTTTACTGATAAAGTAGGCCTCCTCCAGTAATAAACTATTTTAATCTATGATTAAAGCAAGAGGAAGAAGCAAAGCCAGTGCAAGATAAGTCCTTGAGGGTGTGGTAGAAGCTCCTGCAGGCACAGGACAGGGTGCCTCAGTCAAGGTAAAGGATACTGTCCCAATGAATGAGACAGCATCTCCTACAGATGCACCAACCATCTGCCAGTGCTGCTAAATGCCAGCTGTCACCAAACAAGAAGCAGCTTCAAGACTTTATTCACAGTGCCGCACCCCATCCTGTCCTTTGCTCACATCACAGCAGATTCACATGGCCAAAGAGACAGAAAGACATCCACCACTTTGTTTGGACAGGATCTCAGAGATCTCAGGYATGGCTGCGAGATGGAATCTTATTTTCAACCTAGTTATCTCTCCCTATAGCCTCAGGCATACAACYTGGACCAAAATTTCTGGAGTGAGCACACATACTTGGGCAACTAAGTCATCTAATCAGACAATCTGTTTTTCACAAGACCTGTGCACACGTAACCCCCAATCAACCTCCTGCTGCAGCTGCTTGTGATCATATCCTCTGCAAGTCTGTGTATCATTTATGTTGGTGAGCAAGGGGATTTAAACATGGCCAATGCCTTTGAATTTTTAGACTGAAAGAAACATTGTGCCTCAGTTTCCATGTGTGTGACCTGGGGTTTCTAATCCTCCAGGCCTACCCTGAAAGTGAGGTGCCTCTGAAAGAAGGGGAAGATTCAGTACTGTGGAGTTGGACATTTGTGACAGTCTGTGGTGCCGGAGAGGGCCACCAAACCAAGCTGAGCACAGGCATCATAGTGCCAAGCATCTGTGACATTGATCCAGGCAGCAGAGCATCCAAGGGCATGACTCAGATCCAGTTACACGCCTCTGTTCTGGAAGCTAGTAATCTCCATCCCACACCTGTGACCTAAGATGGTGCTTCTCTTTCTTCCTGAGCTGATGACTGTGGTGTGTGTTTAATAATTCAGCAGGGCCCCAGCTCATCTTTCCACAGAACCACAYTGGACCCTTTCCCTTGAATCCCAGCCTAGATAGGAACATTTCCCTTCAAGACAGCAGGAGCCACTCTCCACTTGCTTTAGAAAAAAATCACTTTCCCTGTGGTTGCAAACATGATAGTTAACACAAATTAAACCAGAGAAGCCAGCAGAGGTGACTGTATCAATACTACAGTGACACCACAAGGTAAAGAGGTTCTGTACCTTCCTGGGAACACTAACRGGCACAGAAAATACAGTCGTGCAAATTAAATAATGTGGCCAGGACTGGAGATTTAAAAAATCCAGAGCCCTGAGCAACACTGGTACACCCAGAATCTTGATGTCCATCATCCACTTCCCTTATTTTCCAGTGTCTCCATGGGAGCATGGAAACCAAAACAGCTGCACCATTGCCCCAGAGTTTGAGCCAGAAGAGGGAGAGTGCATCATCTTTTGCCCCYAACTCCTGGAGACTTGGGCAAGCAGACTGGGATATCCAGCTCACACAGTACCCAGCTCTCATCTAAGAAGTACTGGCATCTTCCACCAAGATGTCCTGYGGAGCCTCTACATTCTTCAGCCAGGTATCTGTGATCCATCTTATACCTTTCTCCTAACAGGCTCACCTTTCACRAGGCACTGAAAGGGCACTGACAAGGAATAATGACAAGTGCCAGAGGAAAACATTTCCCAGCTTTACCGATCAACCCAAAATTGGATTGTTTGGCACCGCCTTAGAAAATAGAGAGTCTCAGCAATAAAGAGGTCAGGCAAGCTGKCCTGCCCACCTGCCCTCTCTCTGGCCTCTGTTACTGGCAGCCAAGTGAAGCATAAAGGCTAGTGTCTCATCAGCAGCTGAGAAGAGTAAATGAGAWATAGTTGTACCTACTTCTTTGGCACACTAGTTCTCCTTGTCTGTGTTTATCCACAGACATCCTGTTGGTARTGGGATAAGTAAGCATCTCCACCAAGGAAGAAGCCCCCTTCCCTTTGAATACTTAAGTGAAGCTGACAACAAGAATTATTTGGGGATCTTTGAAAACATGCCCATGCTGTTTTGTTGCTCCCCCTCTGGTATTATTCTGCTGTTTCCCTACAGAAAGAGGCACTGGTAACATTATCAATGTCTTCATGTGGCAYAGAGGTTTCAGCAAGYCTTTGAATGGTAGAGWYARRRAMARSAMWRGCWSKG